TTTCTGGTATTAGTCCTAGGAGAAAAAATTCCGGCTCAAATGGAATAAATGTGAAAAAGAGAAACTATGATAAGTTTATTAACTATGTTTAATGAATTCAAGAATATAGTTGAAATGAATTGTGAGAATTGCTGTACTGAGAGTAATATCAGTTTTTATGATTAACTGAATAGACTAATTTTTCTTTTTGAAATTATAAATGATTTAATGTAATTGAAGGGGAAAGTGCCATGCGGAATCTGACTTAAAAGGCATAGGTGTTGTGTAGTTGCTAGGAGATTATTGTTATTAATCTTTAGGTGATAATTAAAAAGCTAAATTTGGGAATTAAAGAGTTAATCAAATGATATATAAGGTATAAGGGTGGGACGCTCTAATTGGTAATTATAGGAGAAACTTTTTTGAAATGTTTGAATTGAGATGGAGTTTTTGAAACAACAAAATAAGAATATGTGATGAAGTTGCAAACCTGACAGAAAAAAGTATAAAGCACAATGAATATGAAGATATGAGAATTATTTAAAGTTAAAAGAAATAGGTTTAGAAATGAACAGAAAATATATAAAGTAAGTTTGAGAAAAATACTTGAAAAAATTAATAGAAAATATGTAAAGTAATGATAAGATATGAAACTAAATGTAAAAGATGAATATGCAATCAAGACCACGTTCACTAAAAAGATGTTTTTGAAACGGGAAAAAATAAAAAACTGTTTTGTTTTTTACAATTAGCTAATAGTACATGTGTTGATGGGGGCTAGAAAAATATATGTGCAATACTGGAAGAAGGAAAGCCCGAAACAGAGACGATAAGGAAAATTATGTCCTGTGCAGAATCGGACAGGTAATCCCTAGACTTAAAAAACAAGGGGGAATCTGAATACTATGAAACCTGGAATAAATTCTATCAGTGGTTGCATAGAAAGAGGCAAGGTCAGAACAAAAGTAGGTATGATGATCAGAATATCCAGCTCCTTCCTTCCTTCCTTCCTTCCTTCCTTCCTTCCTTCCTTCCTTCCTTCCTTCCTTCCTTTCCTTCCTCCCTCCCTCCCTCCCTCCCTCTCCTCTCTTTCCTTCCCTCCCTCTCCTTCCTTTCTCTCCCACTTTCTTCCTTCCCTCCCTCCCTCCCTCCCTCCCTCCCTCCCTCTCCTTTTTCCTTCCTTGCTCTCTTCCCATCTTCCCTTCTTTTTCTTTGCCTTTTCTCTTTCTCCTTTCCCGTCCCTTCCTGCAAACTCAAATGCAAAAGGGGAAACATTTCTCTTTTTTTGTTTTGCTTTTAGCTGGTTTTGCTAGCCCTCTGCCAGCGAAAACGGACATGCGTGCCCCCCCCCCGAGCTTCGTGGGGCTGCTCCTTTGCTATTTCCAGGGTGGCCCCCGCAGACCAGAACTAAGCAATTTGACACACACCCCTTCTATAAACCCAACTTCGGGGACTTTTCTCATGGCCAGAAGGAAAGAAGATGACCCTCACCTTTGGTCTGCTTCATTTTCGGGGGAAATCCTAGACGATGAAACGTGTTCCATTGGTTGGTGTTGGAGGTAAGATTCGGAAGGAGCTCGGCGAAGGTCCAGCACAGGGCCAGCAGCCCCCGAGTAGGAGTAGACGGGAGGCTGGATGTGGGGATTGTGTTGCTGGGGATTATAGCGTGTGTAGTCTTGAGTGATGACTTCCTGTAAGAGAGGGATAAGGTTAAGGTCAAGGTTCCCCTTGCACATAATATGTGCTAGTCATTCCCAGCTCTAGGGGGTGGTGCTCAACTCTGTTACAAAGCTGAAGAAGAGCCAGCGTTGTCCGAAGACGTCTCCCGTGGTTATATGGCCAACAGGACTAAACGCCGGTAAGGCGCACGGAATGCTGTTCCCTTTTCACCAAAGTGGTGCCTATTTTTCGACTTGCATTTTTACGGGCTTTCAAACTGCTAGGTTGGCAGAAGCTGCGGCAAGTAACGTCACTCCGTTACGTGGCGCTAGGGATTCGAACTGCCCAACTGCCGACCTTTTTCTGATCAACAAGCTCAGCGTCTTAGCCACCGAGGGAATATATCCTTCGGTTTTTCTTTGCGGTCGTTTCTCAAGAAGCTCCCTGTCCTTTTTGACACCCCATGAGGTCATCCTTGTCTTACCAAACATTTATTTCACACGACCAAAGTTACGCTGAAAAAAAGACGGCTGACGACCACACTTTGCATTTAGCGACCACCGTGGCATCCCCACTTACGTTGATGTGCTGGGCCAAGGTGACGACGCGCTGATTTCCTTTGGCATTCGGGGGTCCCTGCAATGGCTGACTGGGGGACTGGTGACCCTCGCTGATCTGGTGGAGCTGTTGCATGTGGGGGAACTCTGTCGCAGACGATTTGAGGGACCCTACATGAGAAAAAAAAAAATGAACGGGCAGAAATGAAAAGCACCACAGCCAAACGGGGAAGAGTCCCTGTTTATAGATGGAGGAGACCCTGACCTTTCTCCTTATCTTGAGCCAGCTTCATCCCTTTCTCGTGGAGGACAGAGGAGGGGGAATTCACAGGGCTTATGGTTTCAACGCCATCAGGACTGTAGTTCCCACGGAAAACTGAAGAACACAAACAAGAGCCTTGAAGGTTGGTGGGACGCCTCTCCTTCTCAGCTGGGTGACAGCTGCGAGGATGTTTTTACCCTCAAAAAGGCCCTCCCCTTCGACCCTTGGCATTCTGACACCTCACTGCTTGGCTCCCTACGTAGAGAAGAT